TCATTGAGTTTGCCAAAGCCATAAGAGGCAGCAATATCATGGAGTTATAGACAGATAACTGGGGCTGTATCTGTATCACCCCAAAATACCGTCATCACAGCTTTTTATTCGAACCGATATGATGACTAAATAAAAAATGAATAAACACTCTACTTTGGCTCTGATGCTGTTCTGCTGTGTTTCTCAAAGTCAAGGATCCTTTGTTCTTGCCAAACCCAGCTGCCCTGTACAAACATCAAGCAAGTACATCGTCAGACGAGTCCTCCCAAGGAAGGGGAGGCAAAGCAAGAGTCCTTCCTAGCATCCGGTGAACATGCATTGGAACATTCACTCTCAGCTGACTGAGGGGGTTTTAGGCTTCTAATGTCGTTACAATTTGAACAAGTGTAGCAGTATTTTCAAAGTCACTTGACTTATAGGGAGAATATATTTCCAGATTATACTTGAAAAAACAAACAGATACGCTAAATAAAACTTAGCACTTAGCGTTCTATCACTGCTGTAAATTATTAATTTAAAAACTTTTATGTTTTAACTTAATCATGGTATTTTAAAAATCTCATTAATTGTCAGTGGACACATTTAAAAGTGTAAATTATGAGGTTTCTGTCAGTGTTTGTTATGCTTTTATGATAAAAACTCCTGGAGACATTAATGAATCCAAATAAAAGACATACTGTATGCCAAGCTCTTCTGGCGCAGGTTTCGTTGAAGAGGCTCTGCCTTCACTTCCAGCAAATTGTGCGCAAAGAATTGTGGGTACTTTATACCTGCTGAGGATACACACATACATCCTTGAAAATTCTCTGAATGATGGTAGAATTCGAAGGATCCTTGACATTGGAAGAGTCCTTTATTGATGTAGCCTCCTTGAAATTCAGCCATTGTCTGCAGTCACCTCTCTGTAGCCTTGCTCAATGCCCCACCCACAACGCTATCTGATTGGTTACGTGTCAGCAGTAATAGCCTATCAACAGGCTGCCATGCCACACGTAAGACAGCAGATATTACTGAGGTTGTAATAAACAATCTCAATCTCTTCTCTTACACTGAAGTTGCAAAAACAGACCTGTGTTTCTGCTGGTCTCGTCCTGCTGTTAGGAATAGGAGTTACTGGATGTAATTTCAGTTGTACAAAAACTGTATGGTATGTGAAGAGATTAGGGCTAGGCGATATGGAATAAATCAAATATCACAATGTTTTTGACTAAATATAGTGATACTGATATTGTGGCAATATTGTTGGGTAAACTATTGGTGCTTTATGAAATATTTACTCAATGAGATTTCTGATAAACAATTAAAAGTCATGCAGATATAATGACATATATATATAGAGCCAAATAATAGAACAGCTAGGACAGTCTGGCAAGATCAGAAAATTGCATCATTTTACTGTAAATACTTGCAATATTAGAATATCTAAAATCTAGGGTGGTATCTATCTATCTATAATGGCTCTTTTATCAAATTCAGAACAAGTCCTTGGATCATAGGGACATAACTATTCACACTTTTTGCCTGAATGTCATTTTGTCTCTCTTGAAAATCAGATTTCAGTCTCAAGAGACCATCCAGGTAAAATGAAGGTCAAAATTCAATTTACATAAATATGGTGGTGGCGACCCAAAAGTGTCTATCAATAAGACTATGGGAGTCCTCCAACCAAAGTAGGGTCACAGACAACCGTACACTTCTACGAAGCATTTTAGGCAGAAGAAATATATACTTTTTTACTTTGTCAGGTCAACTCTGAAAAATGTTCCTCACAGTTTTCCTTTGTTATAAAACTTCTTAAGATGAACAAAGAGATGATCAGAGTCTAAAAGAGAATTCTTACCACTGAGGAAAAGTACCTCTAGGCTGCCATGTTGTGTGAAAAGAAAGACAATGAGGATTGATGGCATAATTACAAGCATGGGTGTGTATGTGGGCTTCTTTCAAAAATTACTATTTTTCTGTTTTTACCTGTCCTCTCTTCTCTTCACTCTGACAGGCCTCTCCCTCTCTCCCTTCACGTCAGATGCTTGTCTGCCAATTACTCTGAGCACAGGGAGTAACAAGCACTATTCCTACAAGTCAACAAATATAATTGCCTCCACCTTGGAAAAACTGCTGCTGCTATATTTGTGCCATTATGACTCAGCCCACATTTTCCATGCGGTTTTGAAATTTACCACACTGTTTTTTTTTACTGGTGTCAGAAGTCACTAAATTGTGTGTGTGTGTGTGTGTGTGTGGGAGGGGTGGTGGTGACTGTTCCACATCATTATCTATCATTACTTTCCTTATAAAACAGGTGTTTTTGACTTGAGTAATGGACAAGAAAGTGGGGAAACTAAGGTTAATCATGATGACATTCAAAAACCCTTCTATAAATCACCCATAATGTGCACAAAAGAATGAAAGTACACGTGTAAGGCAGAGTGAGAGCAAATCACTATAAAAAGGAGAAAGGGGAGCAGGTAGGCTCCTGGAGATAAAACCAGAGAGACTGAGAGGAAAAGGCAAGAAAGATGGCAATAAGGATAGGAGACTTGATGTAAAGAGTAGCAGTGGTTGCCGGAGGACTAGAAAGTGAGATGAGACGACTGATGAAGATGAGGATAGGTGGGAATAAGAACATAAAGGAGGAAGTGAGAAATGAGAAGGATAGGAACAAGAAGAGGAAAACTGCAAAACTTTACTGCAACGCTAGTTGATACATACAGAAGCTAGATTAGAAATGAAAAAGAAGATGACGCAATAACATTTACAATATCCAAGAGTGTCAACGGTATGTCTCCAAGGTATAACATCTCAACACAACCATGTTGGCAAGCCTGCAGAAGCCCACTGACTCCATTGGTTTAGTTGGGCACTAATGCCACTGGCTTCATCTAATGAAGCTCAGCCTAAGTTCAATCAGGAAGACCTTCTTTATGCTATATCCATTCATAACTCTCTCTCTGTCCCATCAGCTGACTATCGGTGTTCCCTCTCCCAGTTAGCCAGTCAAACTTTGCCACTATCTCCTTCAGCAATTCGCGTTGCTGCTGCCAAACTTAAAACCTGTTCTCTTCTCTGCTCCCGTCAGCTGTCATTTTAGGTGGAATTGTAGCGCCCTCCTCCACCCCATTCACCTCCAGTCACCAGGACAAGCTCATCAAAAGCCCACTCCTCTTCACATCCACTTCCTCAGCTCCCTCTTCATCTTTTCTCATCACAACCATTACCACCACCAGCCTCTAGACTCCATAGGGGGGGATCCCTAATTTACTACGTCTTTACCACCCTCCTGGAATACATGACATCACGATGGGATCTAATCATCAAAGACTTTTCACATTTTTCATTCTTATTTGCACATGTAAATAGAAGATCTTTTCTCTCAGAATGAGTCTCTCCTGATTGAAATACAGCTGCAACACACTGTCACGCCCAACTCATCAAATAATGACACTTGACCAGTGGACCTAAGCGTGCTGATGTACCGAGGCACCCTTTGGCGGCAGTATGAGACGCACTGGGTGGCGTGTCAATTTACACTCATTACATGCATTGTGTCTTTTAAAATAAACTTTTGATCTCACAGGACATGTATAGTTTGTGCTTGTTAGATGCATACAGTCTCTTTAAATAAAAAACTAAATAAATCTAGGTAAAAATCATCAGTTTGGGGTTTACTTCCTTAGATTTAGGCAACAAAAGTACTTGGTTAGGTTTAGAAATAAACATGGTTTGGCTTACAATAAGTACCTCTGTTACTAGTGTTATGTAACATCATGTATGTGTCATGTAAACATCATGTCACATGTCACTTGCTTATTATGTATGCAAGTGACGTAGCACCCCATGTAGTTGATTTTTGGTATCACACTGTAACGACTACTATCAATGACAAAAGCCGCTCTAACTGTGACTCATTCAAAGGAGTCCATGCTGAAGTCCAACGATGCTTTTTTATGATGATTTATTGAACAAACAACTGAAATAATTAAAGCAAAAATAGATGAAACACAATATTACGTAATGTGATTACGTTATGTGATTACATGATTGCGATTACCGTCGACAGAAAATATCAGAGCACCTTCTTTGTCTAAAAAAAAAAACGCCACACCATTGAATGAACCGGTAAAATAATGTGAAACAACAACCAAGCCTGTACTAATTACCACCGGAAGTGAAAGTGACCAAAGGAACGTGTGCAGCCTAAACAAATAACAAACAATAAGGTTTAAATACACATTCTGGCTCCTACACACATGGTACACAAACAGTAGGCACCTGAATTAAAGTCCGCAGCTTGTTTGACCAATTGTCCTCCCCTCCCACCGCATTTTCTGGCCATTCTCACTTTACACTAAGGCTGTTGCTCTACGCATTAAAAAAATGTTGCCTCTTGTTGTATCTCATACCACTGCTAAAGGGTGCCTTGGTGCAGTAGTATCTGATGTGGAGGGCCACTGACCAAGCGTCTGTATTTGACGAGCTGGGAGTGAGACTGTGTTGTCTAATAGGGTTGTCAATAAATAGACTGATGTTCAAACAAAGATGTGAAGTTTTTAAATTTAAGACTGGTTTTCTAACATCTTCAGGATCAATATCTGCCAGTAAATTACAGATATTTTTAAGAGTTTTAAGATATCAGCTAACCAAAAGCTAACATTACAATAACACTTTTAAGGGTTAATTTATTACTTGTGCATCTATTATGGATTTCTCAATATAGAACAGTGTTGTAAATCAATCCATTTAACTGGCATACATATTACACTTCACTCGCTCCTGTCCTTTGGCTAAAAGCCTGACCATGCATCAACACCACAATGGTGCTGCTTAATCCACGGTCAATTCACATTCAAGTCAATTCCCATCTGAAGCAGAGACTGTGTACTATTTGTTTTAATTGGCATTCTCATCTTTCATTGTTATGTATGATATATGACACATCTTCAATACATTTAGAAGAGGTCTGTCAATGCTTCAGCTCTGGATGATTCATTAAGTCCACTCACTTTGCATACAGAGTCCGTCAGTACAGTTCTGAGACTGGAGCACCAGCCCCTCGCAGTCCTTTCCTCCGTTTTTAGGTGCTGGGTTGTTGCAATCCCTCCTCCTCCACTGGGTACACTCCGTCCCACAGGCCGACCACTTACTCCACTCTGTCCACACACCGTCCACTAGAGGGAAAGGATGGGGAGAGGAGCCAGGAGAATGAGAAACACAAAAAAACGACAAGGGAAAAATAGAGAAAGCACAAAGAATGTCCTCAATTCTGCTTCAACCCCCAAAGTGTAATATATATATAGAGCGGTGAAGCACAAAAAAAGAACAGTGGTGGGATGCAGCAGATGCTGAGCGTAGGACAGAACAGGTAGAAACTTGAGGCCACAGAATAAAATAGCACAGAGGAGAAAAGGATACAGAACAGAACAACACAGTAGGGTAAAGTGAGGAATAAAATTGGACTAGAACAGACTTACCGGTGCACAGTGTGGTGCAGAGAAGTTTCTGTATGGCCTGTCCATCACAAGGCAGTCCTCCGTTGAGAGGGGCGGGGTTAGTGCAGCTGCGGGTTCGTTTCTGGAAGCCACGTCCACAACGACTGTTACACACCGACCACTCTGTCCAGGTCGACCAACCACCATTCACTGTGGTGACATAGATCAGTAAATCAGTACATTAATACATGCATTGATCAGCCATTTCAAGAAAGTAGCATTTTATTTCTCTTTAACTGAAAGTATTCACATCCTTTTGCTGAAAGAACAGTTGTTGTTGACTTCAACTTTTAAATTATTGTCCAGACACAAAAATACAAACAACGCACCAGAAAATAAATAAATAAATAAAGTTGGCATTGTATATTTCTGCAAACCATGGACACGTTACATGGGCATGCTGGGTACAGGGTACTCCGGCTTCCTCCCACAGTCCAAAGACATGCAGGTTAACTGGTGACTCTAAATGGTCCGTAGGTGTGAATGCGAGCGTGAATGGCTGTCTGTCTCTATGTGTCAGCCCTGTAATAGTCTGGCGACCTGTCCAGGGTGTACCCCGCCTCTTGCCCCATGTCAGCTGGCATAGGCTACAGCCCCTCCCCCCGCGATGAATGACTGAATGGCCTCGAACAGTTGTCTGCAGCTTGGTAGGCATCTTGCCTCCACCTCCAGATGACAAATTCAGCTCAAAAACGACTTTACTTTAGACGTTGATGATACATATCTGGAATGTGAAATGTGCAAATGTAACATCTGTGGTTGCAGACACGTACAATGCCAACATTATCTTCAGGCAACTGTGCTGAAACATCCCTTGCACAGCACAATCATCAATGACCTTACACATCCTCTGACTACTTTGAACTAATGCCATTAGAAACGTGTTGTAGGTTGCTCATGATGTCAATGAAACAGGAAGTTTGGTTTTATTCCAGAGGCCATTTGACTTACAGAAGAAATCAGTATAGATAAATACAATTGTTCTTTGTGCCTTCATGGTGTTGGATATTGTTTGCCTTCTGTGTCTTGGCCACAGTCATCAACCAGTGTGTATTTCAAGTCTTTCCACCACTGTCATATTTTTATTTTAAGATGTTTGTTTTTAGTTCTGAATGCATTGTTCACGTGCATTAATGCTTACCAAGCTTGCTTCAAACTGCCCCTTGAGAAACAAATAAAGTATTTCAAATATAATTGGACAACAAGACGCACTAACACGAAAGCCCCAAGTTTTGTGATGTTTATACAAACGAGGTCTGTGATGAAGCAATTAAATGGCACAGAGTGTATTAAAACCCCACCCCATCACTGAGACATCATCCTCAATGGAGAAATCTGTGATTTTAATGTGTTGTTTGATTTAATTGAACTATTTGTCTCATTGGACTCGAGTATGTGTTTTACAGATGCCAGGAGGCTGGGTTGTTGAAGTTTAGTGAGAACAGCTGGATTTTCCTGCACGCCAAAACCACACACACACACACACACACACACACACACACACACACACACTCTCTAGTGCAACTGTTCGATTTCCCTGCTGCTACTGTAGCACAATGTCTCATGCAGCTGTATAACCCACACATAGTAAAACACACATCAACTGTCACACTGCACATTGCTTACAGGTCCAGTGTGCAGATCTGGATATATGGGAGAAATGAAATATAAGTAAGTATCCGTTACTGTACAATCACCTAAAAAATATACAGTACAGGCCAAAAGTTTGGACACACCTTCTCATTCAATGCGTTTTCTTTATTTTCATGACTATTTACATTGTAGATTCTCACTGAAGGCATCAAAACTATGAATGAACACATGTGGAGTTATGTACTTAACAAAAAAAGGTGAAATAACTGAAAACATGTTTTATATTCTAGTTTCTTCAAAATAGCCACCCTTTGCCTTATCAGGGTTAATTAGTGGAATTTCTTGCTTTATCAATGGGGTTGGGACCATCAGTTGTGTTGTGCAGAAGTCAGGTTAATACACAGCCGACAGCCCTATTGGACAACTGTTAAAATTCATATTATGGCAAGAACCAATCAGCTAACTAAAGAAAAACGAGTGGCCATCATTACTTTAAGAAATGAAGGTCAGTCAGTCCGGAAAAGTTTTGATGCCTTCAGTGAGAATCTACAATGTAAATAGTCATGAAAATAAAGAAAACGCATTGAATGAGAAGGTGTGTCCAAACTTTTGGCCTGTACTGTAAGTCATTGTGTTTTCATCACCTTAGAATGAGCTGTTTATATTCTACAAAGGAAGCAGGCCCCATCCACACTGTAATTTTCTACAGTAGCCCAGAGCGGACAATCCAAACACTGGCTCTAGATAGGGCTATCCGTGTTTTTGTGTTGTCCACCATTGAACTGGCTTTATTAATTGTTTTCACCAGTTTTAATCACTTAGTCGGTTTGTTTTGGAGAGGAAGAGACCTCTGTGGATAATTCAGCTCCAGGCTGAAACCTCCTGAACTATCAACACTCAAGCTGGGAGTACACACGTGGCACATAGTTTCAGCTGGTTGCAATCTGCAATCCTCACCACTAGATGCCACTAAATCCTACACACTGCTCCTTTAACCTTGAACTTTTATTGGGGAGATCACAGGGAGGAAAAACTATTGACCTTTCGCTTTGCTTCGCTAAGTCTCACCCCGGACACAGACTGGCCAATCATAGCATAGCATCGGGCCGGCTCAGACCAGGGTCCGACAACAACACAGCTGTGCTCCATTGACTCTAATGCAATCGTTTCGGATTTCCTTCATCTTCAGGCTGGTTTTGTGGATTTGGAGCTAAATGTTGTGCCTGGGGCACGTCGTGTATTAATGATACTTGTTACCTGGAGAGGTTGGAAAAAGATATATGTTTCTTCCCTGTTTTCAAAACCAAAATCAAACCCTGAAAAGTGTAGGGTTAGCTAGCTAGCTACTGATGACTGGTGCTGCTGAAGAAGCTACTGCTTTTGCTTTATAATGATTATAACAGTGAAACAAAGACTGACCCTGCTGTACAGGAACCAGTGAAGGGAAGCAGGGAAACTTTACTGATATTCAACCAGCTGTGTGTCATCACATTGTGCGCAGAGGAACAGTCTTTGACCTCCCCGGAGATCCCTGCCCATCCTGCAGCGGAGGTCTGGGTGCTGGCAGAGGCACGGGGGTGAAGCTAAACATGGTTCATCTGCACACACTGCGATGCCACACAGCTGGTTCGATATCAGCAAAGATTCCCTTTATATTCTTTGTCTTGTGTGTCGATCAGCAGTGATGTGGTGGTTCACTTTTACACTGTGATCTGTAGCCTATAGTTCGGCTTTAGCTTCTAACTATCTTTGTCTTTTTAACCTGTTGTTGCTGCTGAGTCAGTTTGACATCCTGGATATATCCTTCAAACACAGACTGTAGACCCCTCTGTCTGCTTCTCTCTGGAATCACTCTTTCATTTCTCCAAAAATATGATAATATTTCTTCAGGGAGTGCAGTTAGTTACAGTGTAGGCTCCAATCATGCTTCTAAGTTTTCTAAATCCTCACTAGCCAAAATAACTATGTGTGCTTCCTCTTTCTTTGTCTCTTTGTGCATCTTTTCCCACTTCCTCCCTCTTGTTGTCTCCGCACCTCTTTCCCTGCATCCTGTCACATTTAGCATCCACTGTTGCATCATTATTTTGTATTACCGTTGTTTGCCCTGAGAAAATGTGTGGCAGCACAGTGCAGGTAAAGATAAGGGCAGATGAGAGACAAGCAGATAGAGAGAAATCAGGTATAAAGTTAGAATGAGTCACAAGGACACCCGCAGAGAGAGAGTTGACATGCGGAGAGGTGGGCTGAAATTCCTCTGCTGCATGTCGACAGCTCTGTCTCAGCCCAGTGGACGGTGCCCACTCCTTTCCTAACGCCCAATTAGAAATGAATCATCAGAGAGAAAGAGTATAGTCCGATAAAATCAGGTACAGTCACTTTTGTCATCAACTTTCTTAGGTTATTCTACTCTTTTTTTCTTGTTCTTTCACCTGCTCTCTCCCACTCCGTTCTCCTCTGCCTTTCCTTTCTCCTCACCTGTCTCCCATCCATCTGCAGCTATTCCATTTTTTTCCCCTCATGTTCCTCTGTTTTTTCCTGCTACTATTTCACCTTGTCAACAGTGTCAGTCGGGCCCTTGTGGAGCCGAGAAGATTGAACCACAGATTGAACAATCTATTTCTGTAAGGATACATCAGTGTCAAACCACTCCATCTCTCGCTGTCTGTATCGAACACGCACACATGCACAGTTATTTTTGATTGAAACACTCCTCCTAGTGAATAGACTCAGTGTTACATTTGAGAGAAACGCTGTGCGTGTGTGGTATGTGTGAGAGCGTTCTGCTATACGTTGTTTTTCCTCAAAATGTTTCCTATCCTCTCATGTCAGGCTGGCATTTGGTAAAATGAAAAGAGGGAGAAAGCAAGACAAGGCATATGAGGCATTTTTGTTCCTCTAAACAAGATTTTTCTATTCAGTTTTCAGTGAGAACCAGCGACAGAAGAGCATCGCCTGAAAACCAAACTAACACCGTTCACAACTGAGCTATTCAAAGTTTTCTGTTGTTGTTTTTCACAGCTGTTATCTCGCCATATGCTGCTCAATTCATTTGGTGGTGGGACTCTTGGCTGAAAGTGCAGACATTTGGAAAGCCCAAGTGTTCTAATTTAAAACTGAAGGCGTGATTGGTGGATTTTAATTGGGTGAGGTCAAGGGTGATGTGGGAATATCAGGCCAATCACAAAGAGAGCGTGTTGGCATGGCAGTAGAGCTAATTTCATGTGGCAGATGGGGGCTAGCTTGGCTGAACAGAGACACTGTTGGGTAGCAGCGGCTAGCATGAAAAGGTGTCATATGGGTAAAATGCCCAACATTAAAGACACAAAAATATCCACGGAGCATAAAAATAACAGCTTTTAGTGACTTTATTTAAAGCAACAAACTCGTTTTAGCACACACACAAATACCTCACAAAAACAACAGAATGCAAACTCACCGTAAACAATGACAGTTGCCGTAGTGCTTCGTCTTTTGGCCACTATGTTCTTCGCCACACATGTGTAGTTGGCTGTGTCCGACAGACGTGCCTGTTTGATGATCAGGTTGTGGTCGATGGTGATGTAGAAATTTCTGTCCTCTGCTGGGTCAATTATCTCTTCATTCTTCAACCACTCCACCTAGGAGAGACACAGAGAGGAGAAAATGAGGTCAGTGGAAAGGTTCCTCTATACCTCTGATACATAAAGAGAACAAATCAGAAAAATAGAGCTCACAAAAGATGATAATTGTAAATACAGTAGTGTTATTGTGCACTGACACTATGGAGCTTATGTCTCGTCTGATTTTATAGTGGAAAGGTGTGGTCCTGCCCTGGGGTGGAAACCAAATGAAACCAGATAATAATTTAACTTTGCTTTTTGCAACTATGTTAAATCTTTCCAGCTGAGAGGAATTATAAGATCACATTTTAATCTTGTTTTCACAACAGATCCACCTCAAGAAAAAAAAAAAAAAGGTTTTGAAAGTGATGTTCATCTAAAATAGTCCATCTGTGAGATTGTAAAAAAACAAACCTAAAAGAATCAAGTCTGAGTGTTTTGGTATAATCTTGTTTTTTCCAACCTTTCCAGATGACAAATAAAAAGCAGTATGGGGGGACTTATAATAGGATGCTGGTGTAATCTTGTTTTTCAATTGTTCCACATAGAAAAGCTTTGAGGAGATGTCACAATTCCAAATCTGAGTAAATAAATAAATACGTGAAGGAGAGGAGGCTCTGTGGTGACTATCATCCTGTTAACTGTTATGGTTTGTGCTGTAAGTAAGACACAAGATGTGAAAACTTAGCGTCAAAATTATTCTCATGTATGTTTTAGAAATCAAACATAAAATTCACAAGCAAGTAAATATATTTTATGGGGCAGGACAAAAAATGAAACTATTGCCAACGGGAAAATGTTTATGCATCAAGTCGCAGGAGTCATACAGCTGTAACAACAAAAACTCATTTACAGCGGGCCCTGCACAATATGGGTGGCAGTGTAGAAAAGGAGGGAAATGTCCTGAACATATGCTTTCGCAAGGTGCTTTGGGTGAAGGGTAGGACAGCAGGAAACTATCCTATTTATGAGCCTAATCACATTTCCTGAGTGCTGTATTTACTGGTCTAAACCCTCATAAATTCAGCCTGTCCAAGCTTTATGGCGAGCACATAAATGTCCGAGCCGCGTTGTTTAATTCACGTTGTTTAATTTCCTCCTCCCTTCGCATTAGGAAATGGAAATCTCAGATGCAGAAAGGAGGAAATTCAGTGTTATTCTTCAGCTTACTGCCTGCCCAGGCTCCACTGTCATTCTCCTCGCGCAGTTATTCTACCTGCTTCTCTCTCTGATCTTTAGAGATTTGGCAGTGCTCTTTGGCCATGGGGCTCACTGTAGCTGTGAATTCTCAATCTTAAGTGAGATGCTGTGTGACCTTTCAATTTCTATTACAAAGTAAAGGTTATACCAGAGAGGGGGAAAAAGCAAAGACAAACAAACAAAAACATATATATATATACAGGGCAAATGGTCAGGCCAGGAGTTTATCCGTGTGCTGTGCAAGGGGGAAAACAAAAGCAGATAAAATGCATGTAGTATTTTTTATTTATTCACGCACAGGATAATAAAATGAGCTGGACTGCAGAGAGAAATAAGTTCAGTGAAATGCAGCGTATTTGTTGAATTATGCTCGCGGAGATCCAAGGTCACCAGTCAGACTGCAGAACTGCACCACACACAACTACTCCAGTGATGTTTCTCTTCAGCAAAATACTGTTAGTTTAAAATCACAAACTCATGTCCTCATAAAGTCTTCAACTGAGTAACGTGAGTAAATTCAGTTATAGACCTGTATTTATAAATCAATATATTGTGGCTGTGCATTCTATATATATCACTTATAAGTTTGATAAATAAGTTCAACTTGATGGTCTTAGCTTCTAACTTATAGAGAAACAATGGAATCATAGTTTAAAACAGATTAATAAATGTTCTATTATTGCCAGACACTGCCTAATGCAATTTAAAATAGTACATAAGTTGCATATTTACAAATCAAAGATAAATAAATGGTTCCCCTTCGTTTCTTCTCTGTGCCACAAGTGTCAATCTAATGAAGCCACTCTATACACTATAATGTGTCCTCAGATTCAGAAGTACTGGTGCCACATTTTCCATACAATTTCAGACATTCTTGATTCAAGAATTGAGCCTGAACCACAAACTATTTCTTTTAATATTTCAACATTAAACAACCTCACACCAGCTCAAAGATGACTTATCAAGTACTTACTTATGTCAGCTAAGAAATGCTTGCTGATGTTATGGAAGGGTAAAAATATCCCTAATGTGAATATAACATGATGCCAGAATAAACAGCAAGGTTTTCCTGACCATTACTTAGGTGCAGTGATTCCCCTCCACTCCCACCTTTTGATAGGACTGACAATGTTTTACAGAAATAGAAACAACTGTGACTGGCAGAAAAAGTTTCCTATTGACTTTACTGAATTCCAATACAGTGTACAGTCTTTAGAAAATGTCTCACCCCTGATCTGAATTTTCCTCTCGATGATCAAAGCACCGTTATAAAAAATATCTGTACACTGGCAGTGAACCAAGAACCTTGGGGACATGGAATATTGGATGGTGAAAGATGAAATAAGTTAAACTGGATATATAGCTTCAAGTTACCTTATGAGCCCGGGGGGGGGGGGGGGCTGCAAATGTGTCCTGACTGTATTCGACTGTTCTACTGTAAGATGGTTACCTCAGTTAGTGTAAATGGATTATATCATGTACTGTGTTTATTAGCTTTATTAGTTTCAGCTGGCCAGGACCAGTTGGGGATATACACAAGTACTCTGTTGGACACAGTTAAGTCTATGTCATGTCCCTGGATCCCCTGGAAAGTTGATATTGTGCTGCCAAAAATATCCATCTTATATTCTTCATAGGAAAAGTGTAGCACTGCCAACAAACAAAGTACATCTACAGTGACTAAGGGTGCTTCCAGACCTAGAGTTGTCTTGCTTTGGTCTGAATCAGGGACTAATTTTGTTACAAAGTTGTATAATTGCCTAGAGTTGGTTCGTGCTCTCACGGCAGCATTTACAAGCAGACCAGATAAAATGCCTGTGTGAGAAAGCTGCTCTTGATTGGTCAGAATTTCCATGCGGGAAAAATCCAGGAAGTGAACAAAACGTTGAAGAAGAGTACACTTGCAAGATAAATGTGACACTTTCTAATGTCACAATGGAGGGACAACTACGTAGGTTGCAGACTGCAGTTGGTTCAGATCAAAGTCGGAACACGTTTGTAACCGGACCGAGACCACCTCTTCAAGAAGGTCTCAGTCTGGTTGTTTTGGTGCTCACCTGAGTGTGATTGCTGTGTTCACACCGGACCAAACAAACCGCACTTATGGCGCAAACGGACTTGAGTTCAACTGAACTGAACCAAAAAGGGCAGGTGTGAAAGCACCCTTAAAGAAAACCAAGTGACTTACTCGTTGTAGTAAAGCAATAGAATCTCTTAAGCCTCTTCAAACATAATAACAGTCTGAATGTATTATTTCAACTAACGCAATCGTCTTTTAACAATTGGTAATCTTTTCTATATGCACTTCATGTGAACCTCAGCTGTTCATGTATCCAACCATTTATTTTGCTTCTCGGTTCCCCCAGACACTGTTAATAAACTACTGTCAGTCACCTTAATCATGAGCACAAACATGTCTGCCTTATTTTAAAGACTAATTTGAAGTCCACTTCCAATTAACCTGGAGGACCCTCTGCTGTTTAATTTGCTTACTCTGGCGATTTCTACTGCAGTGCTAAGACAAGCACACAAAAATAGCCGTGTGTGTACCTGCGTTGAAAAGAAGCACTGAGTATATAGAGAGGAAATATGTTATTTGCCACTGATGGCACATCCTATTGGTGAAATCAACAATGGCACATCAACAATTTAACAAACTATTGTTATGCCACCTAAACAATGGCAGAAAGAAGGAAGAAGACATGCAACAATCAGCATTTGAACACAAGTGACTTGCATCGTAGGGATTGTGTATTTATGTAGTTTTTTCATGTAATCAATTCATGAACGTTTCTCGCTTGCGTAGCGGCTTAGTGATTGTTGCACACAATGTTTTTCCAACATAATGTTTGCTCTGAGATGTATGGTCAGATCATTTCCCAGCGAAACACAGCCACACTAACGCAGGCCTTTACTAGCAGCGTATACGCTTAATATTACCGTAGTTGTGAGTTCTCGTATGATGAGGCACTGAAAATAGCCGCAGCCTTTGATGAAGCCTGAAGGTTGAAGCATGTGAGACTGATGTGTGCTCCGCTGGGCTCAGACAAAGAGACCACATGTGGTGGCTATACTACCACTGCCACCGCATCATTAGCCACAGCTGGTGTAAGAGAGAGTGTGTGAGTGTGAATGGCAGAGGGTGGCTGATTGGATCAAGCCAGCCCCGGGGGAGAATGTGTATTTGTTATTTTAACACTCGCCCCCACATCACCTGTCTGTCTCACTTTACCCACACACCACTAAACACAAACACACACACACATAAAACAGTACTCATAAACCCTGGTTTCATCGCCATTGTGTAGATACTGTATAAAATAATGGCGTTATACATGCCTGTGTGGAGATACTTCAAATGCTCGCGGCGTGTGATGAACACATTCACACACACGACACCTTTGACACTCTAGCACATGCACAAACATAAGCAATCCTCTTGTCCTCTGTTTCAACTGTAACAGGATTTAAAAGAGGTTCAACAAGAGTCCATCCTTTTTTCTTTAGACAAAGAAATCAAATGGTTTTCTTTTCAAAGGGATAAAGGCTTCGTCTGATCAATTACACACTCACTTTGTTCATGTTTTCTTTCTGCTTGACCCAATGACTGAGACATTAATTTGCCTACAGGTATATTTCAAACCTTGTACCCCTGAACACAGATAAAAGCAGATATGTACTGTGTCGGTTGTTAATAATGTACGTGCTTGAAGTGTTTGGATATTGCAATATAAACTATGTGTATTGAGGAGTGATAAATTCTAAAATGTAAATACTTCCATATGTTTTCTTACCCGCAACTTAAGGACAAATGTCCC